CCCTGGGTCTCAGAGCGGGGCAGCTGCTGCACCTTCCACGCCCAGCGGCGAAAGGACAATGGGGAGAACAGCCATTTATTCTCGTCACCCCTCTCCACAGATAATGTAGTGCGCATCGAGTGGACTGACAATGGAAACCATATCTTTTCTTTAGCTTCACTTTTAAAAAGCAGCAGAGGGGGTGTGCAGTGGCAGCATGCCTGTAACCTTTCAATGGGACAGTTCCCAAGCTAACCTGATTTACACCGCAAGCTCTAGGCCAGCGAGATCAATAATAATAAAAACTAATGATAACAATAAAAATGGATTGATTTAATTTCTGAACACTAAAAGAATATGGGTGCCACTATCAAAAAGCGGTCAGAGGGTGGGATCCTCTAAACGCTCCGCTAACTCTCTATGATATTGTTACACTATAGTATTTAAGCTAATATTTAGAGTTGCAGGAGACATTAGATATAGAGAAAAACTACTGTAAGGACCACGCAGTTCCTTCTGTGGAGTCTTTGTGCTGGATAGATTATAAAGTTGGGCTGAGTGAGGGTCTACAGAGTGTGGAAGGATGCACTACGCCTCACCGCATGTGCCCTTCAGTAGACTGACTTTCCACACGCATTCCCTTGGTTTCCAGGGCAGCAGTCTTCAGCAGTCTTCTTACTTTTCATCTTTTGCACCCTGCACTCAGTATGTGGAATTGTATTCTTAGTATCCACTCTTGATGTTCTGTTCTATCTTATGGCTGGTATTTATATGCCAGTGATGTATAAATTTGTATCCTAGACTTCCCACGAATCTCACAACATCTTATTACCGTCTTACATATCTAACAAACATTTAAAAGTTAACCAATTTATACCCCATTCTTCCAAAGCTGCCCTACATGCAGGCTTTCTCAGTTCATCTGGTAACTGCTTTGTTGTTGGTTTTGTTCTTCTTCATTCTTGGACACATATTTCTATTATTTAAAATTTTTTACACATTTATTTTTTGAGATATTATTTCTCCCTTCCTTTTCTTCCCTCTAACCCCCCCATGTACTTTTCCTTGTTCTCTAAAATTCAAGGCTTCTTTCCTCTTTGTTGTTGTTTTGTTTTTCTAGACAGGGTTTCTCTGTGTAACAGTCCTGGCTGTTCTGGTACTCATTTTGTAGACAAGGCTGGCCTTGAATTCTTGAACTCACTGAAATATGCCTGCTTCTGCCTCCCAAGTGCTGGGATTAAAGGTGTGCCCTACTATATATGTATATATATATATATATATAGCCAGAAGAGGACACCAAATCTCATTATAGATGGTGTAAGACACCATGTGGTTGTTGGGAATTGAACTCAAAACCTCTGGAAAAGCAGCCAGTGCTCTGAGCCATCTCTCTAGCCCCCTATATATTCTTAAATATATAAATACAACCTGCTCAGTCTGTATAATGTTACTTGCATATATATGTCTTTAGAGCTGACCATTGGTATTGGATACCCAATTGGTGTGTTCTTCCCTGGGGAAGACTCTTTCTTCTGCTCTCAGCATTCCGTAGTTGCCTGTGGTTCTTCATCTAGGGTTAAGGCCTTGTGAGCCTTTCCATTTCTCATTAGCATATATATTAGTATCTTCCTTGTTCAGGTCTTGTTTAGGCAGCTGTGTTTGTGAGACTTCAAGGATATAGCTTCCCTGGCATTCCTAGGAGACACTGTCTCATAGCAAACTTCCTGTTCCTTTGGCTCTTACAATCTCTCTGCCTCTTCCACAACAGTGGTTTTCAACCTTCCTAATGCTAATACAGTTTCTCATGTTGTGGTGATCCCCAACCATAAAATCATTTTGTTGCTACTGTAATGAATGAATCATAATGTAAATATCTGATATGCAGGATATCTGATATATGACCCCTGTGAAAGGGTCATTTGACCCCCCAAAGAAGTTGTTGTGACCCCTTTCCCCTTCACTGAAAACCTCTGTAGGTGAAGTTATGTTATAGATAGATCAGTTGGGACTGGGCTTCACAACTCTGCATTTTGATGGTTGTATTTTTTTGGAATGATGTCCACCTGTTACAAAGACCTTCCTTGATAAGCACCAAGCAGTACACTTATCTGTGGATATAAGGATATAGTTAGAGATTATGCCGGTTTAGTAAGGTGGAGGATATAGGTTCTCCTTCAAGGTCCATGACTTCACTAGCCCTGGGTAGGCCTGGTTTCCAGTACCAGGCATGATTTTCTTCTTGTTGAGAGGACCTTAAGTACAACTAGAGAGTTGTTGGTTACTGCCAAGGTACACATGACATGCTGGTCATTGTTTCATTGGTAGGCATCATAATAGGTAGAATAATCAGTTGCTTCCCTCCTTTGGAAGCTTACATGGCACCTTCTGGTATCATGAAAGCTAGTCCTCAAGGAGGAGGATTTCACTTCAGATCCACCTCTGGTCCTCTGGGTCCTGAGAACATTTTTTTTTTAATCTCACAGGCCAACAGGAAACCCCATGTGTTCTTCCTTTTACTTATTTCCAGAACCCAAACAGTTGCCAGTGTTACCCAAAGAGCTTCTTGGGAAAGGTGCTGACATGTGTGCTGGCTGACTGCCTGAATGAGAGCTGGAGGGAGTTGTGTATGGCTACAACTGTCCAGACAATGGCCTCATTGACCTGTGAATTTATTTCTTTTCCTCTGGATTTTCTGCTTGCTTCTGCAGATAAGCACATAATTAATCTACAAAAGGCTAAAGGCAGATGGGAAGTTATGTTTTTAGTTATTGAATTCCAGGAATAGCTTCACCATCTCTACCCCCCCCCCCCCCCGC